TTCTGTGTTTTTTTTTTTCTGTGTTTCAACAATGCGGAAAAGTGGGTTGATAAAGCATTCAATTCTAGTGTGTATTCAGCCTTCTACTGTCTATGATGTCTTTTTGTGATTTCTTCTGTAACATATAATAGACGTGATATTGTTCTTTTGGTAGTGGCTGCACAGAGCACTCTGTAAAGGTGGAGAACTCCAGGAGACCTTGGAACAGCAGATGAAACCTTTATTTTCTTGTATGGAGCCAATACTGCATTTTCACGAGGAATTTTTGCAGCAGCTGGAAGATGTCCTTAACCTTTGGTATCTACTGTAGTCTATGAACTGAACAGTGCTGGATATTGTACTCGTATAGACCTAATCAAATGAAGCTATCTATAAACTGCATAGAATCGTTTATCTGTCCTTTTTTTTTGGTGCTCAGTCATGATCCTCACCTATACTGGATGAAATGTAGGTCCCCCCCCTTGGCCCATAAAACAGGGTTGGAAACTGCTTCTGTTTACCCCAAGTCCAAGAACCACAGGGATGATGTCACCCATTTTGCTTGGGAGTCCCTCATGCTAGCCACGGTATGGCAGCTATTTAACTCAGAATATAAAGTGTTGAGACATCTGTCTGCAGTACAACCAATATCCACTGTTCTTCTCAACCTTGCCTAAAGATGAAGGCAGTGCATCTCTGCTGAAAATTAAAAAAAGGGACTGGTTGGCACATCCTTACACACATTTTCCCAGCTTATTGGCAAATCTTTCTGTGTGATGTGTACTTGTAATTTTTAAGGGGCTCTTGCAAATGCTTGATGCTCTAGAGTTTGCAATTATTTTCTGTACCTTGCAAAGATGGGTCAGGCATGGCCACCTTTTAGAATCAGGAAAAGTCTAGACTGGGTGGCCAAACAAAGAATGGTTTAAATATTTTCTGCTATGTGAATAGGAACAGGTAACAAATATAAATAGGTGTTATCCCAATTTTGCTGCAAAATGAGAGGTAGCGAGTTGTCTTGGAATGTGTTCATATATACTACAAAGCCTAAAACCAAAACCTAATATCACAAAATATTCCATATAAGGTACGCAATGAAATAGAAATACTTGCATCTAGTTGCCCTGGTGCACCCATATTTTAGAATTTAGAGTTACCCATTTGTTATCGCTATTCACAAATAATGATACAGTAATGCTAACTGTGTTTTAATATGTTCTGTGTCCACTTTAGTCACTTGTGTTTAGTCGCTTGTGTTTCTATCTCATGTTGCTTTGCAGGGAAGGAAGATCTTCACATACTAAGGACATGCAAATACTTGGAGATTTCATGCTGAGGAAAATGACAGCCTTGCGGGTGAGATTATAAGTATGTACACATCTGTTTCCTGTTGTTCTGTTACTGAGAATTTGTAGCTCTCAAATCCACTAAATACAACATACAAATCCTATGCAGCAGGAAAAGCAATTAAGAAGTAACTCCATTTATTTATTTTTGTAGAGTGGGGAAGTGTTTGAACCTCTATCAGGATTTTTTGTTGTCGGTAGCCCCAGTGGGACTATTTCCCCTCTTTTCCTATCCCACTAACAATGATATCACAGAGAGGAAGTGAAGGGAAATCTCCTCAATGGGGCCACAAATAACCATAAAAACACCCCCTTTTCATTCTACAATAAATATAACTTGAAATGGCATCTGATATACCCTAAATAATGTGAAATGGATACAAATAAATGAATTGTGCCCCAAAGAAGTCAAGTATGTTCAAATATTCAGTATATCTAGGTGTAATTTCGGTTTATTGTCATCAGCTGAAAAAAGGGTTACACTTGTTGGTTTATATTATTTAGTTCAGCAGCTGTAACTTTAGCAAAAGACTTCTAATGGGCACATCTGTTCTGGTAACAACTGTCACAGGAGATTTCACCCTTGCTTTAGAAAGATTTCCACTCACTTCCTGTTTCTCTGTAACCGGAAGTAAAAGGAAAGCTGCCCAAATGGAACATTAAAAGAAAAGTAACACGGAGAAGAATGATAACCCTTGCATACTATATCCAAATCAAAAACACTCTTTTTGTACAGATACAATTGAATTTATTGGGTGCGGAATGGGTAAGCATGGAATATAACTGTGGGCGATATATTTGTTGTCATGGTATGATGCATGGCAGGTTTTGAAGATCTCCACTATTGACATTAATTGCAAGGTCCTCAGAGCTGATGTAAATGTATAGGCCACTCTTCAAAGTTGCTGCCCTGGTTATGGTCATGTCATGCCTACACATGTGAGCACCCTCTAATGACAATATGCTGCTTAATACCTCCCAAGGGAGGACATGGACACCTTCCAACACAAGGTATTTAGGCAATGAACATTCCCCCAATTTGTGGACCATTATGAATTTACAGTATATGCCAAAAATGGGTTTAACCAATCAGAATTTTCTTTTTTCCCACCATCACTTTTCCTTTTCCTTTTTATCCTGCTTCTCAGCTTCTCAAAAAGGCAAACGTAATAATTAAGAGATAGGATGAAGGTTTTGTGCAGAATAACACTTTTGGTAGTTAAGTAGAATCCTTTTATAGATATCTACATCAGACCAATAAGGACAACTGAGGATGGTGTGTGCAGGGCAGCCTTCAGAAATTTCAGGGCCCCTTACACGGCTTTAGGCCAGGGCCCCCCCCCCCTGAATTGGACTCTGGGCTTAGTTGCGCGCCGGACTCTGGACCCACCTGAGACCCCACATAGCCCACCTGAAAGTGACCCTGCAGAGCACACCATACATGCTGCACAGCCCATCTGAGACTCTCTATGGCGGGCTCTGCAGGGGTCCCAGGTGGGCTGGTTTGGGCTGCAGCTCCCTCCCAGCTCCTCTGGTGCCCGGCCTCCTCTGCCGCCGGACTGGCCAGAAGTGACATGATCTCCCGCTACCTCTGGCCACTCGTCTGTGTCAGACTAGTATAGTGATGGCGAATGTCTTTGAACCCGAGTGCCCAAACTTCGGCGCAAAATCAATGTATTTATCTCAAAGTGCCAACACTGAAAATAACTTAAGTATTGCGTCGCAGTTCGTGCGCTCGGGTTTAAAAAATGTTCAGCATCATCACCGCCTCAGACAAAATAGGGAAACGCAGATATTCAAATATTTATTCACTCATTAACCACTTGCTGCCCGGAGCAATTTCTTACATTTGCACACACATGATAACATCTGAATTTTTGGGTAGAAAACAGCTTCGGACCCCCAAACAATGATATATTCTCTGAAAGCAGAGGCCCTGTAGAATAAAAAGATACTAGTTGCAATTTTTTTTATGTTGCACGGTGTTTGCGCAAATGTTTATCAAACCAGTATTTTTAGGATAATATACACTAAAATGAAATTTAGTGCACAGAATCAGAATATAATGGCTAATTTTTTGGTACAATATAAAAGACAGGATCACGCCGGGCAAATAGATACTAAGCATGTCAAGCATCCATGAGACCGCCAAAAACTACAATAACCAAAATTTTCCATAAGCGACGCTTTAAATGCTTTTACGGCTCATCAGTTTAGTGCTATCAGTGATTGATGTGTCTAGAATTATTGCTCGCGACGATGCATAATAACGTGTGGCGTAATTTTTGTTTTTGCATGTAGGCACATCCGACGCGTGTTTTGTGTTATATGTGCGCGGGCGGGGGACTTTAAAAAAAAATTTAAATTTTTTTTAATGTTCCTTTTAATTTTTACAATTTTTTTTCTCACTCCGTTTTATTGCTATTGGATAGGGGGCTAAGGCCCCTATGTAATAGCACATATAATGTGACAGGTCCTCTTCATGGAGACATCAGGGGTTTTTCATACCCCTAATGTCACCTAGGGACCCCAAAGAAGCTGGTGAAGCAGAGATCTGCTTCACCAGCTTCTTCTTCTGGCTCTAAGGGGTTGTCCCACACCACTTGCAGTGCGGCCCGATTCCAGCCGGAACGCACTGCATCACATTGCGGCCGGCTCAATTTTTGCCGGGTAGGAGGGGGAGTGGCAGGCCATTGGAAGTGAATGGCGCCATAGCCACGCCCTCCGGCCACAATCCGATCGTCCGCACGGGATCGCAAGGCACATTGTGCCACCGGAACGCACTGCAGGCAGAATGTGCCCTGCAATCCTGTACGGTCGATCGGATTGTGGCCGGAGGGCGTGGCTACAGCGCCATTCACTTCAATGGCCCGTCACGCCCCCTCCTGCCCGGCACAAAAGTGAGCCGGCTGCACTGCGATGCAGTGCGTTTCCGGCCGGAATGCACTGTAAGTGGTCTGAACAGGCCCTAAGAGCCAGAGACTGTGTACAGTGACACCAGAAGTGATGTAATGCACATCACGTCCGGGTCCAGTGATCGTAGGAGAGATCCGCAGCTAGAAGCCACTGATCTCTCCTCCGATCTGTATGGGGAGAACCTCCGCGCGCGGCCTGGGCTCACACGAGGGACCGCACCGTACAAGCGATTCAGCGCCTTTACAGAAGCGATCCGCTTGTGTTTAAAACCGCAATTGTTGGCTGTTTAACACGATACAAGAACATGGCTTCAGGAGCAGCTGTGTTCTTGGTATAACCACTTCCAGCGGATGACGCACAATTACGTGAACCCGCGGGAAGTGGTTAAAAAAAACAAACAAACAAAACACACGTGTAATGAAACGCACACATCACACACATTAAAAAACACACACATAGCTTCATTAAAAAAACAAATCACACACATTCATTAAAACACACGCAATAAAACACACACACACACATTCACAATTAAAATAGTTTTTTTTTTACATTATGTTATAAAACAACTAATATATTAAAAACTTAAACATTTTTGGGGGGGAAACTTTAAAAAAAAATTCCTATTTTTTTTTTCCACTTAGCCCCCTATGTGATAGCAATAAAGTTAAGAAACCCCTCTATGTGATAGCAAAATAAGTGACAGGTCCTCTTTATGGAGACATCAGGGTGTCCAAGACCTCCTAATGTCACCTAGGACCCCCCTGAAGAAGCTGATGAAGCACAGATCTGCTTCATCAGCTTCTCTCCAGCATCTGAAGCTGGAGAGTGGCACGAGAATGCGGAGAGGGGACCGTGGGAGATCGTGAACCGACCTCCCTCTAATCCCTTGTCAGAGAGCCACTATGCTGGTCCCGGGCTCGCACCGGGCACAGCAGAGCCCGGGATCAGCGTGACAGTGGGAGGGGGGGAGCCGTGGGGGGGGCGCACATACAGTGACCCCATACAGGCATCGCTGCCAGTTTTTTTTAATTATGTCTTTCCCGCTCGCACGCACAAGTGGGCGGGACTAACAGGACGTGTATACACGCCCAGTTACATTCAAGAAGCGGCCGGCCGTTGTGTCTACTCGCGGTGGCCATCTTTAAAAACTAATGTACAGTGGAGATACCCCCTGGTAACACCGGAGAAGGCATCCCAGGTGAGGGTCTGGAGCGTGCGGTCCCCAGCCTCCTCTGGTGCTGCGGGGGGGCCGGCCACATCCTGGCCTGTCACTTGTACGGCCGATACCCATGTAAGGTGCTGGACAGAGGGATTAGGTTCCAAATGTAGGACAGCCCCTCTAAATGAAGGACATTTGGGAGAAATGCTACTTAAGTCATAATGAAGTGGAAAACAGCTGGCACTCGTAGGATTCCTCTTAATGGCGTTTCTTTATTGAAAAGGCATAAAAGCAGTTACGAAGGGTGCTAACATGTTTCATTCCCCCCAAGGGACCTTTTGCTACGTAAGTCATAGGCTTTTAGAGGACTTAATATGGTGGCCATGTTAGCTGCACGGGAATTACAGTGGTTGTGGATGTTGAGTCTGAGGAAGTGTGTTATTGGGCCAGAGCTCAGACACACTTGTCCATAGTCCATACCTAATGCTGGGGCCTAGGTTGTGTCAAGCTATGACAAATGGAGGAAATTTGATCACAAGTTTATGGCCTTTTTCCCCGCTGTGTGGCTATGTAGGAAAGGTGATGATAATATTTTGAAGAAACTGAAAACAACCCTTAAAGTTAAAGGGATTTCTACTTATTTGTGTCCTGACACTAGCTGAAGGGGTTTCCACCTTTTGAAGAAAGCATGCTAACCATTTTGTGCCACTTTAGAGTGCAGTGCCTTTTGTTGGATATGTGTTTATATGAAGCACTGACATCTTGAGGAAAGTTTTACTTGCTTAGCAGGACATTACACGTATTTATACAGGAACACAGCATAGTAGAGAGGAAAACATATATACAGATAGAATGTCCTGTGTATCACAGACAAGCATACATAAGCATAGAGACCAACACTGCACCACAGCGCCATTTAGTGCCCAAAAGGCATAACAGTCCATTAGCATAAGCTCTTTCCCGTTGGAGGAAGACTCTTATAATAATGATGGTCTGCTTAGAGCTTTTCTCATTTGATTACTTTCTCACCCATCAGCTCTGTCCCAAAAACAGAAATGCCATATTGTGTTGGCTTTCTGTTGAAATAAAAAGAGATGTTGAGGTTTGTTCTGGGATACCAGAGACGTGCCTCAGAGAACTTACTTGGTTAGAGACAAAGGCAGCACCACATGACAAGATGGTTTCCCTTGGTGTTAAAAAGCATGTTTTACGTACAATAATGTAGCATCTCTTCAGGTTTCTACTTGTGTGCTTTACAGGCATTGCTCCCATCATTCCATAAACTAGAAGAAGTCTTTCTGGAGATGCAAAGGAAAACTCACAGGAAACACGAGGTGGACATCTTATTGCAAGAATTTGAACAACAGAGAGTGTGTTACCTGCCACTCAGCTGCCTTCTGTTAAAGCCTCTGCAGCGCCCCCTGCAGTATGAAAAATTACTGGAACGACTGTGTCGCCATTATCCGCCTTCACACCATGATTACAACAACTGCCAACGTAAGTCTTCCTTGTCTACTGATAAGTTGGGGCAGTTTTACATGAGAAAACGTTGCCTGTGTAGCTCATTAAAGTATATGTAAACCATAGCAATGAACTTCTCTAATTTGGTCCTTCTGGATCTGTTTCATATACGGTACTTTTGAAAGCATTTTGTTATACAAGTTTAATAAGTGCAAAAATACCTGTTGATCCGGCCTGCTGATCTTGTCAGCTAATAATGTCCTATTCTCTCTGCCTGTGCTGACTGTTATCCGTTAGCATTGTTCTCTGGTATCTCTGTGGCCTACAAAACACTTTCCCCCTATGTTATGGAGGGGGGAGGTGTTTTGTACTTCAGTTCTAGGGTGACAACACTGCTCCTCCATAGATCCAGTATGCTGAGTGAGCGTTGTCATTCTAGGACAGGAAGTGTGTTAATGGCAGGATCACCAGGTTTAGAATATAGGGCTTTTAAAGTTGAAAAAGATATTGGAAACAAGAACTGATCGATCACTTTAAATTTGTGCATAACATTATTGCAAGCTATTGTTCACAGAGATGTGTCCACTAATCAAGTCTTCACTGCATATAGAAAATGTGGTCCGTGTATGGCCCATGTTAAGTAGAATAATGGGACTCTATTGTAAAGTTAAAGAAGAACGCCGAGAAATAATTTTATTAACCCTTGCGCTGCACCTAGACAAAAACTAGCAGTTAACCCTTGCAGAGCGGATGTAGTTTTCCCCAGTGTTCTCAAATAAAGGCTCGGTCTTAATATTTGGATTTGTTGTTTGTTACACAAGCTTCATAAAGTAAGGAAAAAAACTTCCTTTTACCTTCCCTGACTGAGCCAAATGCTCCTTTTATTTGTGTCTCGCACGCTCCTCCTCCCGGACACTGCAGCTCAAAGTGTGAGGGTTTCAGCACAAGGCCACTGGGGCCCGGTCTCGGGGGGGCAGGGCGCAGAGGGGCGGCAGCGGTGTCCTTGTGGGGAAGTTGCCCTCTCTACATTCAGTCCTGCTTTGCACAAGCATGACTGAATGTAGAGTGAGGCAGCCGATTTTTCGTTTACATGTGAACTCGGCGATGTCACCAAATTTCACATATAAACAGTGTGCAGCCTCTTCCCCTCCCCCCTGCACTTACCTCTCTCCTCCGGTTCCGTCCTCCGCCGCCGAGTCTCTCACTGCAGGGAGCAGAGCGGCAGGGTTAAAAGTAACCCGGCCACTCCGTGTAGACGGTGAGAGGGGAGAGCTGTGCTCTTCCTCTCTCACCTGTCACAGGAGTTCCAGCACAGTGCTGTGCTAGAACTCCTGTATTGGAGGTGACAGGGTCAATAAAGAGAACCTGTCACCTCCAAATGCTATCACACGGGTGCCTGTTTTTTCTCCTGTGCGATAGCAATGAAGTTAGGTGAAAAGAAAATTAAATTGATAAAAAAAATATGAAATAATTAAGTGAAATAAAAAGGTGATTAAAAAGTAAAAAATAATAAGAAACCAATTTATTAAAAAAATAAGGAAATAATTATAAAAAATAAACAATAATAAGATAACAAAATATAAAA